CCAGGGTTGTGCCTAAGGAAGGCGAAAAGAGCTTCTTTGTGGCGATCTGAAGTACATGATCTAAAACCTGCTCAGTTTGTGATGATAATGATATGATTGGTCATGGGAAAGGTGTTTGGGAATACTTTGTACATGAAATAAGAGTTGGCTTTACCTAATGGATTCATGGCGTGTATATACATACGGAATAGCATGAATCATGAATTCGCATTGAGCCTATGGAACTATGTGCTATTTCGTTATGATCTATTGCAGAGGAGTATAATTCTGCACTCGGATCTCAGGTTTGGGAATGACCGGGGTGGCAACTCAGTATAAACACTAACTAGTCTTCATATTCAAGGCGTAGTCGTTGAAGACATAATAGATTCTGTCGCGAATAGCATCGCAGGGAAATAATACAACGAAGAGGATGTCACAGACGAGCAATTACCGAATGCGGAAAGGTGCTTCAGGCATGCGAGCTTATTTAGCGCCAACATCTTCACCGAGGGTCAGGGTAGTTAGGCTTATTGGACCACAGTGTCTAGGAACAGATCCTGCAAAGCCAGTCAGGCAAATCTCGAGGGATATGGAAGCTTTAGCCTGGATATGATGATATCGGGATAGAAGAAATAGAATGACTTGTCAAAATAGACTGTATTCGAAAATTCATTAAGGGGGACGACTGACATGAAAACTTGAAGCTTTTATGAATGCAGAAGTTGAACTTCTACATAGTAGCTACTCATTCCAAACTTAGGTTTATTACCAGGCGTATTCTATGCGTTATTTAAAGCCCATCGCACTTCGAAGAAGCGATATGTCTTGTTATGTCTATGTATACAAGTAGTAGAACCAGTGGTGTAAACAAGCACAGTCTACAGTAAATTCGGTACTGTACATATCCCCGTTCCAGTTAAGTTGGTTGGCTATAGGGGCAATGAGGTGCTTACGTGCTCCTCAAAGTCTGTATTGAGTTTCTCTTTCAACACACAGGAAAGGGGCTGAGGTTTTATGTTGGAGACTTTCAAAGTGGAAATAAGTCATAATTAATTGAATGTTATGTTCATGATGAGTCCTAGGGAATTGTAACTGCAATCCGGCGCTACGGAGTGTCATCCGGACCCCCGTTCCGGCCGTCTCGGGCACCTTCCATTGCTTGTTCACCGTGCTTCTGACTGGGCAGCTTGCCCCAGGTAAAAAGCAGAAGTAAGGACGGCAGGTGGAATAATAACTCAGCTCAAGCTCTGGCCAAGTTGTCATTTCCCCATGCTTTGAAGACCTCCAGACCAAAGATATCCGAATAGATTTCACATTTCTACCAATAATTAACTACCGACAACTCTTGCTTTAGTATTACAACATTCACCATAAACTGGCTGACCGACGGCCCACTTCGTTCATCACTTGTGCTGCTTCTGCTTCTAGCTCCACCCGCAGTCACTACTAACTTAGGTGGTTATACCAAGCCCAGCCTATTTTGGCCCCAAGCCTTGGCCTAGGCCAAACTTCACCGTCCAGGTCCTCTTCAGTCTTTTCGTCTTCTTCGACCAGACTGCTACTCGCATCTGGTATCCCTTGTTCTGACCTCTTCCTCGGGCCAGCCACGGCTGCTGAGCTGCCAATTAATCCTTTGTGTTTCGTCACAGTTAAGCAGTGTTCATCAACACCTTATCCTTTCGACCGTTTCGGCTCACACCACCTGCGCAGCCACTTTCCATCTCCCCTCCCCCTCCACGGGACCACCTCACGCGCGCGCAAGACTGTACCAAAGAGAATCGGCAAACCGAAACACCAGCGAACCTGCACAAGAACCCGCGCATATAACCGAGAGAATCGCAATCGCATCAACGTGCCGCAGATAAACGTGCGAATGAACCGTGTCACTGAGCTGTAGACTGTACAAAACTGCTGCAGCGAGCCGCAGATGATCTACGAACCCAAAGCCGCTCTGCGTAACCTCAAGATCCAATGGGAGTATAGGACAAAATGACAGACCGGAATCCTGCTACGGCGGCCAGGAGTGCCAAACAGGAGCCTGCTAAAGGCGACGATGGCAAGGCCGTGAATCGCGACAAGAGCTCTAATGCTGCCGCTTCAGGCAATCAAAAGACACCCGCTAAAAAGAGACGCAAGGTCAACCATGGTACGTCTCTCCGATACTTCCCTCCCCTTGCTTCAAAGGTTCTTGTTGTTTTCCGCCATGCGCTTGTGGATGAAAGCGCATTATGGATGGGGAGTGAGCATCCTGATGCTGGAATCCCTCGTTGTAGTCGTGATTGAAAGAATCTTAAACCGCGACCAATCAATTTGCCAGCCTATCAACCTGTTAGCTCCCAATCCTGGCAACAAGGCTCATCATAGCGCATATGTTTATATCAAACAAGAATCATTTGGGCTGACTGGCATTTTATTACAGCTTGTGTATATTGTCGAAGATCTGTAAGTTAACCAAAGTCAACGACGCGCGTTCGCATGGGCTTCATCTAAGCCTTGAGCAGCCTTGGGCGCTCCAAGAAGCCATCTCATTTGCCAAATGGACTCTGGTGTGACGGCACGGCACCCGGGAGTTAACTTTGCGTCTTGTTGGCCCTTGCCTTGCATACGCGAACGTTGAGAGAATCGTAGCTGACACTCTATTGTTTCTTGTAGCACATGACTTGCGATCTTGTAAGTATGATCCTAGGCTTTCCTTGCTGCCTCTTCTGAAACTGTACTGGGACACTTCAGACGCAGCTGCTGTGCTTTGGTTCCCAGGGGAGGGACTCTCTACACCATCAAAAGCCATGCATGTACTGATGCTATGAATAGGAAAGACCATGTACTCGATGCATCAAGCGCAATATTGGCCATCTTTGTCACGATGAGCCTCGCGATGCCGATTCTAAAAAGGCAAAAAGTGTCCAAAGCAGCCAGAGCATACAGGCCCCTTCTGTAGTCGATGAATCTGATGCACAGTCCGACATGGCCCGTAGCTCCATCTCTAGCACCATGGGCCCACCTCCCCCAACATTTGACACGACGAGGCAGCGAGGTTCCAAGTCATTTGGTAGTGGAGTGTTGGGTCAAGGCAGCCCGCTGTCCATTGTGCAACCCAGCCAGGTCTCGGGGCTGCAGGGCAATGAGTTAAACAACGGCGGTAGTAGTAACGCAAACCAATGTACGTGTTGTGTTCCTTTGTCCTGCCTAGGGAGGGGCCTACCCCTTGTTCCATTTTTACTCACGAGCGGAGTAAGGGTGGGCTGAGCTTGGGGGTGCCCAGAAATCTGTTCCTGATCTGAGATCGCTGACACGCCACTTAGTCGTAGGTTTCCAAGATGCGTGGGTGACAGCACAAAACCATTTTCATGATATGCACAGCTACCATCCCAACTACCTGATTGCCCCGGAAGTCACTCACGAGTTCAATCTTCTCAACGACTTCCTCCATACTAGTCTACTCGATGACGGCGGTGTTTCATCAGAGGATCAACAGAGCTCGGCATTCAAAAGGTCAAGCCAGAGCCAGTCGGAGATGCTACCCAGGTTTGGAAATAACAGCAACCCCATGACCGTTGGTGGTTCAAGTAGCATGACAAATATGTCACGATCAATGCTACCACCCCCTCCGAATAAAGAAGGCAAGAACATTCCACGACCGGGAAGCGCTGTGCCTGTCGACAAGGCCCGCGAATATTATCTACAAGCTGCTGATCCATCGGGCAATGACACGCCTGAGGAGCGTATGGGACGTGTGCTCAGGGCCAAGTACGACGCCGGACTACTCAAACCGTTCAATTATATCAAGGGGTACAGTCGCTTGCAAACATACCTGGATTCCCACATCGCGGCATCGTCCAAACACAAGATCATAAAAACCATCGACTCGTTCCGGCCTAAGTTCCGAGAAAAGGCGCAAGCTTTGACGGATATGGAACTTGTGTACGTTGAGATGTGGTTTGAGAAACAGCTGATGGATTACGACCGGGTCTTTGCCAGTATGGCCGTTCCTGCGTGCTGCTGGCGAAGAACTGGTGAAATTTTCAGGGGAAACAAGGAAATGGCAGAATTGATTGGCGTGTCGGTAGCGCAACTGAGAGATGTGAGTTCTGCTTCGCCTGCACCTCCTCGTGACGCTGTGCTTGGGTGCCAACCAAAGCACGGGGGGCCGACTGAGATGGATAGCTAACGATCACTTACTCTAGGGCAAGATTGCGTTGCACGAGATTCTTACAGAGGAATCGATGGTACGATACTGGGAAGAGTTTGGCACGATTGCTTTTGATCCAGCGCACGAGACCCTCTTGACGGCATGCTCTCTAAAGAACCCCAATCCGGAGTCAACGCATCCTATTGTGAAATGTTGTTTCTCGTTCATGATAAGACGCGATGACCACAAGCTGTACGTACCACCCAACTTTCTCTTTTTGCTGTGAACCTCTCACTGACTGCTGCAATTAGACCAGCTCTAATTGTTGGCAATTTCCTGCCGCATGACACACCGACACAATAACAGTGAACTCCTTAATTTTTCATGTGCAGGTGCTGCAGTCTATCAGATGGGGAAAAAACAATCATGACCAACCACTTTCACATCATGTACTGTTTCGATTATAGTAAAATGAAAATCGTTAGAATAGGGACTGGCGCATGGATACGCAGGTATGAACTGGAAGGGTATATGTTCATCTGCTGCAATTTAGACAGAAATAAACACTTGAAGTGTGATAACGCTTTATTGTCAGGCTTAGATGGCGAATTGCTCGAGAGAAGTTTGTGACATGTTGATGCTGTCGATGGCCCCTTTTAGGCCTGGCGAGAGGGGGTGGGTGGCAGTCATAAATGGAAGGAGCGTCCCCTATGCTCCTGCCCTACCAATGTGTTCTGCGCCAGATTCACATGACTTGTTAGGTAGGAACCAAAATCATATCAACGTGAGCGTCTTGACAACTCATCCTTCCACTCTTTAAATCTCATTGTGTTTTACAAGTCAATACTTGGCCACATGAAGCACATACTTTGCTCTATCTATACCCAACATGGCGCCGGCTAACGTATTCACCACAGGCCAGATCAGGAAGCTTGAGGGGATTATAGGTAACAAGAACATGTTCGAGGGTTGAGCCTACTGACTGAATCCCCTCGTGCAGAGTTTGCTACAGATCTTCTTTCCAAATTACCGACCTCCCGTGACTCAAACTCGAGCGAGGTGATTCTTTCCGATCTGAATCACCATATATCCTCGGCCAGTGCTTTGACTGAGAAACGAGCAGTACCGCCAACCGGTATTGCAGAAGAATTGAGAGATGTTGGCAGGAGACTATGGAACGAGTGTATCAAAGAGAGAAGAAAAAAGGACGGCATTCTGTCATCGTCCTCAAGGATCCAACTACAAGCGCGCGCACGTGTTCTGGCCTTTCTTATCCATGCTTTAGCAAAAGAAACTCGGAACGATAAGGAGGGAGGCCGCGTCGAAGAGATTGCAAGTATGATTGAGTTGTCACTTGCGCTAGCTAGAGTTTGCGTTGAATCATCCGACCTTGATGGCGCGCTTTTGAGCATGACCAAGGCTACCGACTACATCGACCGACTAAAGATGGCGGATGATATAACTACAGAGGACCAAGATCATATACAACGGATTGAGGCGGAATACTTTGCGATGCGGTGCGCCCTGGTAAGTTCAGAACGTTACACTGCAATGACTTGCTAATCCGTCAAGTCGTGGAAACAAGGCTGTCTGGATGTTGCCGAGCATATGTACGCAAAAGCGGATAATCTCCTACAACATGTTGATTCATCTTCTGCCGAAAGGCTGGCCGATACTTTTCACTGCATTGGAAGCGAGCTCTTGTCAAAGGAGGATTACGGCATGGCTTTGAAATGGCTGCGACGAGCGCTCAAAATCATTAAAACACAGGAGCTGGAAAGACTATCGACGGAAGGACTCGAACTTCGAATGTCCATCCATCACGAACTCATTCAAACATTGCTTGCTATAGATTCCGAGGAGCATTTAGAAGAGGCGGACAATCTAGTGTCGCAAGTGGAATCCGAGATAGGAGACAAACCAATTGTTCTCCATTGGAAACTGGAAATTCTCCAATGTTTTCCTAGGGAGCTTTTTGATGCCGATGCATACGCGAGCATTCTACGGCGTATGATCCGATCGCTTACTCTTTCGGATCCTGGGCTCGGATTTCTGCTACATGGTATTGAAGAATTGCGCACAAGGGGACCTCGGTTGGCAGTAGGTTTGATGGAAGAGCTGATAGCCAAGAAGCTGATACCATGTGGTAATATGAATTGGGTAGGGAAAGCTGTAGTCCGACGTGTTTGGATGGGCACAATGGAAGCAGATACGTCCACGGGAGTGGGGGATTTGGTCCGACTTCTGGATCAACTCACTCAAGAGATTGGTCAGTGTAATGTCGAGGCTTCAACTGCTGCGCTTTCGGCAAGTCATTTAATGATTTCTCTACACTCTTGCTTGTTACTGACATGCAGAAGCTCATTTGGAAGAGGCTCGATGCAAACTATGCCAAAAAGCAGTACGAAGAATGTCAACTCTGGTGTCAAACAGCGCTTCATCCTATTTTTTCTCATAGCTGCGAAGCCACTCAGGGAAAGTTCGGCCGAAGAATGATGCGCTGTGCGATCTTATGTGAGGATGCAGATTCTGCATACACTGCTTTCAATTCCATGCCAACGAGTATCCAGGACGAACCTCTTACGAGATATCTCATGTTCAAGGTGGCTCTAATGAGCTGGAATTATGAAACAGGACATCAATGTATCGAGGTTCTGAGTAAGATGCCAGACAAATCCCAATGTCAAGATATTATATATGCCTGTGTCAGGGATGCACAGAACGCCGGCGACAGGCTAATGACACTGGAGACTCTGAAAGCAGCGGTCGAAACATTTGATATGGAAGGCTCTTCAACTGCGAATCTACCTTCGATATTCAGATGTACGATACGACTGATACACCTGATCGATACCCCGCAGGATGAACATATGGATGGGGTTCCTGAGCTCACAGAAGATACTTGTTGCATGTTTGAGAGAGGTGCGTTTTGCTATAAAGTCTTGAAAACCTACTAATACGAGTAGCCGCTGAGCACGCAAAGCTGGGCCCAATAGACAAAGAAGGTGCCAAACTCTTCACAGTTCCAGAGTTACACTGGTTTCGGAAAAATGCCTACAACATTGGTGTAATGAAGTGCCATGTTTGGGAGCCGTGGCATCTGGTTCGTATCTTTCGCGTCTGCCTCATCTTCGCAGCCTGCTACCCTCCTGATCTCCCATCGGAAGATGTTTCTGGTATAGGACTTATGACGGCCCGTTGTCATTTTGTCATGGCAGCAGCACTGATCTCGCAAGCACGTACCGAGGACAAAGTAGATGAGCAACTCCAGTGGTATCTTGAAGCAAGATCTCACATTTCAGAGTTTGACGCATTCTTCAGTGATCATGTCCGGAATGACCCACAGTCTGGTATTTACCCAGACCTGCTGGCTAAGATGTCAACACTCTTTGTATTTGATTTCGAGAGTGCCGTCTCTCTGAAGCAGTGGGACGATTCGAGCGAAATCATCAGAAAGGCAACAGTCTGCAAAGATGAGTCACTGTACAAAGCTATGGCAGACTGCCTGTTGAGAAGTGAAGCTCCGGGTAATGGTAAGCATTAACTGATATTTAACAGCTCAATCATAAAAGCTAATACCTCCAGTTGTGTACGGAGCAATGCGTCTTATTATCAACGAAATATACCTGCTAGAAGGTTTCGACAACACACGACTGGCAAAGTACATACGCTGCTTATTCAAGGCTATTTTGCCCCTGGACGGTGGTTTGGCCTTGCAAGTCGTCGAACAAGCAGTCAAGCTCGCACGAGAAGGAAGCCAAGTTAGTGAGCCCCTTCATCACCAACATTCTTCTGGCAGTATGTTTCCCCAAGCTAACATCGTGAGATAGGTACAAACTCCTTTCCCTGCAGATGACTTGGACTACATCGTCGCAGCAACTTTCAACCATGCCGTTGATATCTCTGGGAGGGGTGACGAAGGGCTATGCCAACAATGGGTTATGAAAGCTCTGGAACTCGCAGAGTACATGGATGACGGGGGTGATATGAGAGAGAGTTTACTCGAGAGAGCCGCTGAAATGAGATTAAGTAAGGAAACTGTACTCTAAACGTGTATACAGCGTCAACGGAGAAATTCATCAGTGCTTCGTAGAGCAATAGCCCGCTACTAAGACTCTTTTGATAGATATGACCAAGCTGAAACTTGTCTCGCACACAAACGGTCAAGTCTTGTTTCCATTATAACCCTTACGAAAAGGGATAAAGATCTATGGGTCCCTGCCCAACGCCAAGTTCGCCTAGATGCTATGCAAAATCCTGTACCCGTCTCATGCAACACGTGGTATCTTCGTATGGATATTCCTCAAGTGATGCTGCTTGTAAGAAGCTGTACATAACAATATATCGAGACGCCTTGACGAAAACACAATGCACCCAAAACAAAAAAGCAAATTATATATGTATGCGCCTTGCTCCCTTAACTTTTTCTTTCCGAAAGAGCCAGCTTCCAGCACTAAACGAGGAAGACACGTCTCATAACTAAACATTAATAATTCGCTTCGTGACACCTGCTGCCAAGCTCCCTAAATGATGTTGGCAATGCTTAATCGTTCTTTGCTCGTCGCTGGGTTGGGTGCACTTCCGCTTGGCGTCCTGCTACCGCCTGTAGCAGGGCTCATCACTCTGCTAGACTCTCCCAACTTTGGCATCTCGGAGCTGAAACGAGGGACGTCACCCAACCTTGGGAGTTCCACCCCTGGGCCAGGTGTTTCGCTCTTGATAGGAGGAGGTAGCGTCCAAGTCGCACTCGAAGGTGTCAGTGTCGTGGCTGGTATAACCTCCAACCCACGTACAGCGGTCTCAAGTCTTCCCCAGCCACCCCATTCTTTGCTCTCGGCTTCTTTCAGACCTGTACGGGCCTCGGGGCTGAACAGTCCGCTACTTGATGCTGCAGTCGAATAATGGAATGGCGAAGTTGCTTGAGGCAACGGTATCTCACGCTCTGCGCCAGTCCAAAGCCATGAAGCATCAGGTGAAGCTTGAAGATCAGCAGTCGCGTACGCTAACAGGTCTTCGTCACGCGAAAGCATCTGAAGGAGGGCCGTTTGATCGATCGATGGCCTCGAAGAACTGTACGCCGGCGGAGCAGCCCTTGCCAAGTAGTTCGTGTACTCAACGCGCTTCGTCGTCAAGGTGGCAACGAAAAACGACAAATATCTTCCACAAGCCATCGTGACATCCCTTCGTCGGTCAATGGAGGCCAGTGCTCTCACAGCTGATAGTGCGTGATCCAAGTAACCTGTGAGAAGAAGAAAAAGTGCACAGCGGAAGATGTGAGTGGTCAACAAGGAAGTTGCACCGTCTGCCAAGAGGGCCGGGTTAGATCGATGGAGAAGGGATGATGTTTCAAGAGAAACATGCGTGCAGCTTTCGAGGGATGCCATACGGGCCTCGAGGGGGTACTCGGGATGAAGGTGATGCCTATGCAGTAGCAATCGAGCATGAAAAAGATATGCTAGAGGCGCGAGGAAGTGAGGCGCGAGCGGCACAGTGCTTGACGGATCGCAAGCTGGAGGAAAGGTATTCAGGCACTTCTTGAAATGAGTGTCGAGACTCGAAAGATGGGCTGTGGTCAAAGCACCGGGCGATAGAGCGTCCATAAGCGATGAATACGATCGCACGACATGGATGACAGCGAGTAGAGAATGTGTCAAAGGTTCCGCTCCTGTAGGTACCATCATTCCTCCATCATGGATGAACTGGTCGTCAACCCCGGCTGGCAACGATACATCGCAATCATTGTCGCTAATGGAGACTGGCCGACAAAGCTCAGTTGCCAGGGTCCTGTCTAGTATATAGATCATCCACCAGGTTCTACGCCGCATCTCTCCTTCAATGACGGGCCACGGTCCTGACTCAATATGCAATCCCAGGTCTTGGGAAACACGTATAGCTCTTCCTAGCCATGTCCAGGCCGCTGACTTAAGATTCATCTCGTTCAGGCAGAGTGATACTAAAGTTAGTGACCTCGCGTGGTCTAACGTGACGTCGTCTGCCCAGGGATCGAGCATCTTGTTGGCTGTCTCAAGAAATTCGGCTGGTTCGTAAAACGAATTCGGCTGAGAGTTTGACGTTTGGCTGAATAGACTTCCTGTCGCAAGTACCGCAAAGAACAACGAAAGCCAGGCTGGAGACGCTCGAGTGACACCGTTATTGTTGTAAAGGTCGTTGACAGATGCTCGAAAGGTAGGGAAGTGTATGATCGGGAACATGGAATGAGAAGATGTGTAGTAGGCGTGCAATAACTGATCAACCAAATGCCTTGCCGGTAACTCTGGCCTTTGAGGGTCGAAAAAGACGGGTGCACGTTCACGGTATTGGGCCGGAACTTTCCAAATACCTCTCGAAAAGTCCCGTATGTTAGATCTTGCTCTAGATAGATCAGGTCCTTGTCCAGGGGCCGCTCGCTTTCGTCGTTTCGGTTCGGATCCAATGGCTGGTAAGTTAAAGGCGTTCTCATTACCTCCTTCAGCGTCGAGTTCCATTGGCCCTTCTCGATCCTGAAGCATGCGCCGCAATCCACTGTTTTCTCTTTTCACCCGTTCCATTTGCTTTTCCAGATCCTGCACCTGTTTAATGGATGACATGCGCCGGTTCGTCTCTTTTGTGAATTGGCATTTGACGTTACGGCTGGAGCACTCGGAGCAACTTGTTGTCTCTGTTGCATCACACTTCACCTTTCTTTCACGACAAGCATCGCAGCTTGGGTCCTTCCTTCTCTGGCGATAGGCTCTCTTTTGCCCTTGAGAACCGGGTAGTCCTGCTAGCTGAGCATTTGACGGGCCTGGTGTACTGGTGACCGATTCATTCGAGGCGAGTGATTCATGGCCAAGAGACGATGATGTATTCATTGGACCATAAGGTTGGAAGCCCTGGCTGACTGGGGGCAAAGGAGGGATGCCGATGGGTTGGGGCGTTGCCGGTACATTTAAACGTTGGTTGGTATTCATGGCCCCTGGCGCGAACTGGGACAAAGACTTGGGCGAGGTTGCGGAAGAGACTGATGAGGAATCGTAGGACCTGTTTGAGGGATTGGGCGAGCGAGTATAGACGTTCTGTGGTGTTGACATAGCTGATAACCCTCTCGGTACCCCACCTCTAATGGGATTGGTCGAGGAAGCCTCAAAGGGTCCCCCAACGGAAAGGACGTTAGGGGGGCGTCGGTCAACGAGCATAAAGGAGACTCCGTTGAACAAAAGCCGCAAGTCGTCAAGTACAGAGCGGGCAAACTCCCGCTTCTCGCCTTGCTCGGAAAGAAAAGGCTGGGATGCACTATTGTTTGTCAATCAACCCTGCAACGGAACTTCCAAACTCTGCCGCCGGTCTCTTGTTGTGATAAGCAGTATGAATCCGTCTCTGGGAAATGGATATCTCGAATGTTGCAAGGCTGTGTAACCCGATACCGTTCTTCTCCGAAGTGGTTGTTCGGCTCATCACCTTGTTCAACACTAGGAACAGATCGCAGGTTTCCCAAACCACAAGCCTTGGACAATAGCCAAGTTAAATCCCAAACGTAGTACTCGGTAGCACCTCTCCACGGGCGTATACTCGAGTGTAGATTTCCAGTGACAAGCAAGCGTATCTGAGGCTGGGCGCACTTGAGGAGAGTTAGAACGAGTGACGAAGTCAAGTCGTAGCCTTAAAGATCCGGAAGTCGGTTGTTCTGGAAGGACCTGCGAAGAAGAAGAAAAGAAAAGGCGAGGCCACGAGGCCAGAGCTGACGTCGTTAAGTTTGGCTCACGACAACTAGGCTTAGAAGAGAGAAAATGTACCGTTAGAAAGAAGAGGCGCCTGCAAGTAGGTATATCGTTGCTCGTTACCAGCTGGGCACAGCAGCAGCACCGTGTTAGTGGCGCTGGTCCGTGATCCGGGGCTCTCCGCGCGTTAACGCAGATTCGGAAATATTATCTGGGCCAGGCGATAGCAAATTGGGGGGGAGGGGTGGCCGGACCCTAAACAACTTGGCTGAGCAGGGCTGTTGAGAGATCAGCCATGGCCGCTAATGTGTTTCAAGCGGAGACTGGCATCCTGGAATACATATGTTGCCAGTCATAATCCTGGATCCTGGACCTATCCATCGGTCCAACAAGAAAAGTGCTTGTTTCCCAGTCTATTCTGCCACCTTCGGGTGCCAGAAGTCAGACCCGTGATGCGATCTAGGCATATTTAGCGACTGCATGGCTCAGCTATTGACTGCTGACAGTTCTTTAAGGACCATGATCGACTTTGCTATATGATTGGAACAGAACGCAGAGGCCAGTGTTATTTACTGGGCCATTTTCTAGCGCTATGCTGACCGACATGTTACTACGAACCTAGGTTTTCTCGGCAGCTTGATCGCCAGAAAAAGACTGGTACTTCCGAAAATGCTATGCACAGCGAGCCGGTCGATATTCGGCCATCTTTGTATTTTGCTACCCGCGATGCCATGTGTTACCCCCGCGCCTAGATCGGCGTGCCTTGTTACAGTTAGTTGGGTAGCATGTATTCGTCCCAGGACATGGAAAATTCGCCGAATCCAAAACATCAGTCTCGTGTGCTGTGTTGGCTGCGTTTTGGGTACGAAAGGCCATTGGGGGTCCGTATCAATGGCAATCAGCATTGGGATTCAACAGCTTGCCATTGAACTGACAGTTCGGCTTGTAGGTTGATGGCCGGAATAATTAACATGGCATCCATAGTGACATGTTTGCATCCGACAATACACATCAGGGTGTAGTCTCAGAACTGAAACGTATTGTCTGTGCGAACAGCATGGTTCAGTAGTATCCGATGCTACTATCTGGCTGCTTGACTTGTGGGGCTCAACGAGGACTGGTCAGCTTCAACCTCACTGACTCCTTATTCATGGTTGTCATGCCAGATATGTGGCGTCAGCAGTCGATAACTCAAGGTCAGGGATAGCACCAGTGATGCGGACGGGAGCTAATTGCCCTCACGTTGCAGTTCTAAAATGCTGATTATAATGGCCCTTGGCCGATTTGAGGGTTTGCGCCGAGCTGATGGACTGTACAGGTAGCCATATGGTCGCCAATTTGGAAAACTGCAAGCTGCCGTTGGACACACGGCCTGCCGGAGGGCATGGATTCGGCCTTGGTGGTTTCCGAGGGTGCCACCTTGTCCAGGTGTTCGCCAATGGGACGGTTATATCCGTCGCCGTGGGTGGGAAGCGGATGACGAATCCCCAGTCAGGGTCGCAGTGGGGATTCGGGCTAGAGCCGAATGAACCGCCGGGAAGGGAAGGGTTGGGCGGATGGCGCGCCCGGGCCTTGGGTATGGACAGACAGAACAGAATCTAGCTATTTGGTCAGTACAAGGAATGAGGATTAAATTAAAACACTTCGTACCAGATCATCATAGTCTACCTAGGCCGCTAGATACAGCCCTTGGTTCGGAATGCCTGCACTGTCCAAGATATCTGAGAATTGGAGAAAACCCTCACGAGACCGCAAAATCGTATGCACATACATACGCGCACCATGACCCGCCTTGTATGTAACGGAAGGCAGGGGCATACAATGAAGGCGCAGGATGAGGAACAACTGATGCAGCAGGTTCGCATGGCATATTTTCTTCTTGGAACTGCTCAGCGAGTCAAATGAAATATACTGCCCCTGCAACATTCGGTACATTGCAGAACGCCGAAACCGCAGTTGCTTGTATCAATATAGAGTTGAGACGAGACGAATCTTCCAGCCATGTATGTGCCTGATTCGCATGCAAGTCGGTCCTGGCGGCGTAGAGAACCGACAACATGGTTATGGACTATAAGACGAATTCACTGTTTTTTTGGGGGGGACGGCAGGGGCGCTTCGTTTTGAAGGAACTGACACACTCCGTTACGGCGTTCTTAACGGCCGGTAAAGAAGTGGGAACAGAAAGCCCGTCAGCGGAGGCAGTGGGGCCGACTTGGTGAAATATACCCAGTATCATGATGCGTATTTTGTCAGGCTAGCATAGAGGTTAAGGAGCTTTGGCTCAGACTAAGCCTTTCTTGTAGTTGTATGCAAGTTTTAGCATGTCGTCCAATGCTTGGTATCGTGGTCGTATCATTGCGAATTAGGGGATGGAGGCAGAAGGATGTCTTCCCAATTTCCATTTACTCCTTGGCGGTGGATGTGTGGCCCTTGTCAAGATCGAGGGGGCGGGGGTCTTGGGGGCCGTGTGGGCTGAGATTCGAGCTGGCGGGTTGAGGTTTCGGATGCTGACTACCGTAGAAGGGGGTTGCTGTGAGTTGTCAAGTTGTCTTTTGGAGTAGGCAGGGGGGCTACGATCTTGGACGCGGACGGTTCATGTTAGGCGGGACAAAAGATAACTAACATTAGCCACCACCATACTGTACTACACTACTGATACAGGTACGGCGGAAATATACATACGCGAGTAGCAGGCAGAGACGGAACTGAAGCTGAAGCACGGAATTAGAAGCATGTTTTGTTGTACGTATGTACAGTACGATGTCACAAATAGGAGTTGAGAAGAACCAAAGATTGGCGGGGTGGTGTAAAGGTAGGTACCGATTCCAGTTAGGCGAGCCTCAGGTTAGTGCAGACAAGGCAGGCCTTAGACAAGGTTAAATTTACCTGTTGGTTCCATTACTTACAGGGCAGCAGGGGTCTCTACTGTCCATTATCGTACAACGGGCTCCTACATGACTTCGTCTTAGTGCGAATCCCCACGGAAAGAACATCTCTGAACATTACCTTCTCCATTGATTGCTAATTCCGCTTGTGAGGTTCATCTTGCCCAAGTAAACCACTACGATACCCAAGAGTTAGGTAGATAGAGTTCGAGATTGGCTCCTTCCTTTCAAGTGGCCCCCACCAAGACCTGTCTTCAGCACTTGCCGACATCCATGGTGCCAGGGTAGGTAGGTGTAGGCAGGTACGGTGCCTATGTCGGGAAAACCTCACACAGATAACTACATGTCATTGTTCAGCATTTCTCGTCCGATTACTTATCAACTCCACCACTCTGAGGGTTTGTCTTGTTCTTTCATTTCTCCGTCTGACTTGGGTCCCGGACTAGGTACGAAGTACCTACGTAGGGTTTTGCCTGCCCTGAGCTCGTCTATGATCTATCGGGTTGGGGCATCTTATTAGTTAGGTGCCCTGTTAATAACAGCCACCTGAGAACAGACAGATGACGATCAAACACGCCCAAGGCCACGGCTCAAAATCAAGCCTCCGTTTCATCGGCCCGTCACTCGTTTACGGGTCATGTTACGTATGTGCCTCGCGACTCGCTCTCGAGTATCGAGCCAATGCACGTCACCCCAAGCAGTACCTGTCTGGTACAGAATTTGACGATAGTATACTTACAAGCTCGGCACCATTTCTAGCTCTAATCAGATCATTTACCTAATTTTTTTTATGGGGGATCTGGATGTCGATCCATCCTACTGTAATTGTTGATGACGAAAGTCTATTCGTCTTCGAGAACAATAGAAAAAAGTCTTCTCGGCATTGGCTCCGATGCTGGGCCTTGTGGGCCTTTCGTCAGGGTTTACAAATGATTGGAACCCACCAAGTTCAAATTCGGTTGCATCCATCCGTCATTGCTGACTTGTCTAGGCCGCCAACCGCTTACCTTGCCGCTGCTTACTACGGGACGCAAAGAGAAGGGATAGACACACTACACACAATCCCATTTGTGCCTTGATCCTATTCTCGAATTGCTTCTGCTGGTCTCAGCACTTCACCTTTCCTATTAGAGACGCGCCGGAGAGACAAAGCGACAATCATGATCGAGTAAGCCAATGATTGGAAGCGAATCTGTTGCACCTTGCACCACATACCCGTGGAGAACCGGGCTGGCAAGATTGGTCGCGTTATCTTGATTCAAGCACGACCCGCATCTTGTCATACCAGTGCAGCCACAAGACCTCACAACAGTGGACGTTATTATCCAGCAACCTGGTTTTCGGACCAACAAATACCATCATCCGTTGGTGGAATATATAAATATTGTCATCGAAAACCAGCCGCGTTTGTTTGTATACACTTCCCCTTGTTGTTAAATCCTGGTCTGCACAAGACACAGAGAACTTGGGAGTGTGCATATGGAATATGCATGTTAGTACGGATACAATTGGTTGCTATTTTGGATAGGCATTTAGACAGATGTGCGGCACATCAGCCGCAATGTCAATTTCAACCAAGCCTAACGTAGGAACGCCACGAACTTGACAGAAACTAGCTGCTTTTGATCGCTCGGGACGAATCTACAAGAGGATACTCTGTAGCAATCCGCATTTGTCCTGAACAATTTTCCGCATCTCTCAACCAGGCCCAGCACCCAACTGTTATCCTATCAACATATTTGCCTGGTTCAAGTGCCGATCAAGAGCTGGTCTAATTAACTCGTGACTACTCCGCTGGATGTTTGCTTACTAGTCGGTTCTTGAGACATTCTAGCCGTCCGTGACTGGGATGCTTCACCCCTTCACTCCACTTGTTCGGCGAACAGGCTTATTCTCAACTCAACGCCCTCTTCCCGTATGGCCCCGGAAGCTTACGTACCCTGTTCCACATGGCCCAGGCGCTTCAGGATCAGCTCCATCGTGCTTGACTAGAGCTACATGAGGAAAGCAAAGCGACTATCACTTGGTTTCGGCCAAGAACAAATCTTTGTCGACAGATAGCTAAGGGAATTCGATGTGAAGACCGACTATGTTAGTCCAGTTTTCATTGACGAAGAAGCGCCCAAGAACAGGAGTAGTATAAGCTAAAATATAACTAGCAACGGGTTGCCCATGCTCCGCTGCACGTCTACCAATGGTATTAGCTACCGAGCGGAATGGCGCCACCAGCCTGTTTCGCGGCTAGTCACCAAAGTGGAATTCTTGATTATCAGTCTATCCGACAGATTTGACTGTTTTTTCGTTTATCACTTCTGACGAGTCAAGGTTGCCAATTGCTGCATTCTTGCAACTGCTAAGGTAGTTGATGTTACTAGCACGCTCATGAGACGAACGTTTGTTGGGATGGAGCAGAGTGTGATACAATCGGCATACCGCACACGGTGGGTTGGCGATCAGCTGCAGCCAACAATGCTTGATAGCGCAACTGGAGCGACATTCCAGGGTCTGCTTGTCGGAACACTACCAGTACTGGCACGCATCTCGTTCTTCTGATTCACTACAGGGGCACTAATATGATTAAATCCCCGCAGTGTCTGAAACTGAACCATGTATCCTCACTAGACGGGGAGCCGGCCATTTACACATTGACAGGCAACACTCCATCGATATTTCACCGCCAATCCGAATATCCAGTCGCAAAGGAAAGATATTCCTAGCTACCTGAGCAGGGAGCTGAAGAAACCACACGTTCATGCCATGTAACAATGTGCTGAGACGTCGTGATCTATCGTGCACAGGTGTTATATATATCATGGGAACCGTTCCGATTCGTGTCGCTGCATCGGGCAGTAACCGGGTTGAGACCAGATGTACTGTACCTGCATGAGTCGCTCACGATACGGTTTTAATCGCTCTGTTCAAAACTGAGGCAAATACCAATTCAAGTTAGCAAACACGCATGAAGAGCCAAGGGGGACGAAGAGTTGCCCTCACAATATCACGGAACAGAGAGCGAGGGAAGACATAATTAACTCGAGGGGAGTACATCTTGGAACTCTTCCTTGTCATTTCGAAAATGCTGAGGTGTGGATTCAATACAACCAACCCAAGTACTGTATTCGTACCTGTAAGTTTATTTCTACTTGATGTTGAGAGAGATTTCTTTGCTTTTGACGCGGGAATCGGAACGGAAGCTTCATTCCTTGTCCCTGAACCAACATCAGACCCCGGGCGTGACAGGATAAGCCGTAGACGGTTCCAAGTGGCTAGAAGGAGGAGAAGGAAAAGGAAATGAGGGAAATCTTGGAAAAGTCCTAGGTCGTGGATTGTACCGAGAGTGATTCAGTTCAGCCAGTTTTCGCATGTGGCCCATCATCCATCCAGCTTAGCACATGTACTAATTGAATACTAAGTCGGGTCTAGTACCCGTAGTCAGCACTTGCTGTGATGATCAGTGGGCGAGTCTATCAAAAGTCAAGTGTTAAGCGTCAAGAGGCCCGGAGACAGAGGATTTCGGTACTGCTTCTCAGCTCCTCAATTCAAGCCACAATGACAAGGTCGTTCGCTGACAGGTTCCATTGACCTAGGCCTGACACTGACAGGCCGAGCCTGCCAAGTAATATACATACCCTATTTCTGTTGCCAAGTCAATCAATATACATCATGCACCGTATTTACAAAACTCTATACAATGGACATGCATATAATACCTGTAAACCTCTATTTGACTGCTTAAACCTTGAATATGATTACAAGTTTATAACGGACGGGACCGGGCGCTCCCGCAATTATGACCGTTTTCTATTGGACCAGATTTCTTATCAATACCTAAATCAGCGCAAATTCTTTCCCCGTATTAATAAACGTCTATTAAGGCAATCACTCTTCAAGTGATTTTGCTTATATGTGATAAAACTCATCTTCTCAGTTAACATTAGTCTAAAGATATTAGCCAAATAATCAACATGTGCAAGTCTCGGGTTCACAGCTTCCTCCAAGCTCTGCCAAAAGTCGAACAGCATCTTCACATTGAAGGAACTCTCGAGCCAGAGCTCCTCTTCTCTCTCGCTGAGAAGAACGGCATCGAGCTTCCAAACGACCCCGTATACGAGTCCGCTGACAAGCTGCGGGAGCGCTATGGGCGATTCACATGCCTGGATGATTTCCTGCACTACTACTACCTCGGAATGAGTGTGCTCATCACCGAAAACGACTTCGAAACTTTGGCCTACCAGTACTTCCAGAGAGCAGCGAGTGAGAATGTCCGACATGCTGAGATCTTCTTTGATCCCCAGGCACATATTGCCCGGGGTGTCAGCTACGACACCGTCGTTGCAGGTCTCACTGCCGCCAAGCAACGTGCCCAGAAGGATCTGGGCATCACTGTCGAGCTCATCGTCTGCATCCTTCGCCACCTCCCTGTCCCCGAGTCTCATGCTCTCGTTGACACTCTGCTTGACCGCGGACACTTCAACGACGGTACTCTGACAGGTTTCGGTATGGTATCCAGCGAAAAGGCTTTCCCTCCCGAGCTATTCACCGAGGTGTATGCCCGTGTAGCGAAGACCGGTACTCACCTCACCACCCATGCCGGCGAGGAAGCACCCCCTTCGTTTATTACCGCATCGCTCGAGCATCTCAAAGTCTCGCGTATTGACCACGGACTCGCAGCTGCGCAGGATCCTGAACTTCTCAAGAGACTGGCGGCCAACCGTACCCTTTTAACTTTCTGCCCCTGGTCCAATGTCGCACTCTGCAACCTTCCCGAGTTAGCCGATGCCCCTGTTCGCAAGTTCCTTGACGCCGGGGTTCTGTTCAGCGTCAACAGTGATGACCCTGCTTATTTTGG